CTCTCCATTCCAATCCATGGTACCATGACAGGGTATAGTAGGAAAAATGTTGGATTTGGAGACAGGGGTTCTGGGTTTGAATTCCAGCTTGTGTGATTGTGGCTAGGTTATTTAACATCTCTGGGTATCTGTTTCCTCTTATTTATGTCTGCAAAAAGAAGAGTCCCTTTCAGATTAAAATCTAAGATTGAATATTTTATTATCATCACTATTAGTCATAGAATATCAGAATTGCAAGGGATCCCAGAGATTTAATACAGTTTCTTATTATTTTGCAAAAGAAAATGGAGCCAGAGATGCAAAGTGAATTTTGTCTTAGGATGTACTGCTAGTCGGTGGCAGAGACAGGAAGAAAACTCACATCTCCTTAAGTTTGGATGACCCTTTCCACTGCTTCTTTTAAAATGAATATGCAGAGCTTTCTAGAATAGGTTTTTTCAAATAATTTCAGAAAAGCTACTTCCCTGAACTTTACTAAAGTCCCTCAAGGGTCTGCTCTTCCATGGAAAATACCATTCTGATGTGCTCCTTTAAAGTGAACAGATTATCATACCCTTCACCTTACAACAAAAGAGGGCTGGTGTGTGAAAGGTGCCCAAGATCAGAGATGGCTCTTCTAAGCAACTCCTGCTCCTTCACATTATCCCACTTTCTGACATTCCCAGATGATCTTACTCATCTCATCAATGACTTTGCCACATACAACTCTGCTTCTCTGTTCACATAATAGGCATGTTTTCAGAAAGATGAGGGTGGGGCTGTTTGAATGAAAGGGAGATGGGTGGCAAGAAACTGAAATCCTTAGTAATTATAACCTGCTCTGAATTCTTGGGCTCTTCAAGAAGTAAGATATTAATGGGAGCTACTGTTACTCGATACCAGTGGCTTAGGTGAACTCCTTCATAAAATAAAAGTCAAATTAGAGAAAGACCTGTGGAGAAGGTCATTGCTTTTTAAGAGTATCTCTCAAAACTCAACGTGTCTAAGACAAAATTTATTACCTTTTCCCTAAAACCTTTCCCTCTCCCAAGTTTCCCTACTTCTGTAAAGGGTACTGCCATCAGTCCTGTTTCCCTGGTTTATAACTTCACCATTATTCTCATTCTCTCTCAACCAATTACGCACCAATTCCTGCCATCCTAACTTCCCCAGCATCTCTCAATTCTGACCCCTTTTCTTTACTAACAAAGTCACCACTTAGTTCAGGCATGCACTATTTCAATGGCCTCATAATTGGTCTCCTAGCCTCAAGTCTCTCTCCACTCCAATCCATTCTTTACACAGCTGTCAAAATGATTTTTCTTAACTGCGATTCTAACTATGTCACTCCTCTAGATAATAAACAAGTCTCAGTTCAGGACCATGGGTCCATTATAAATTTATGTTATATAAACTCAACTGAGCCTTCACTGCAGTATTGCAATTCATTTACTCCTCTATTCTCCAAAATGGTTCTTTCCAAAGTTTTTCTTCTTTGCTCAAAGCCCCCATTCACCTTTCTCAGCTAAAGTCCTGAACTCATTATTTCCCAAGAAAATCAAGGTCATAGTCCACAAACTCTCTCATGCTGTCCTCATTACACTACAAACCCTTAATACCATTCTCTTAAATCCCCTTTTGCCCCAGTTACTGAAGAAAAACTAGATTTTTTTCTTGCCAATTCCTCTACATGTGACCTGGATCCACATGTACCTTTATCAATTGTCCAGCAGATTGCTCTCACTTGTATGGATGCTCTCTTCCTAGTCTTTAGTACTTCCTTAATAATTATTTTTTTCACTGCTTCCTACAAACATATCCAAGTCTACCCTGTCATTAAAAAATCCTCACTAGAGCCAATCAATCATCCCTGGTAGCTAGTGATGTATCTCTCCTCCCCTTTTCAATCAAAATCATTGAAAACAGCCATCTTTACAGGGTATCTCCATTTCCCCTCTTCCCACTTTCTTTTAAACCTTCTGCAATTTGGCTCCCTCCCCCCAGCCTCTCCTCCTGGATATGTTCTCATCTCTGGGTTTTTATCTTACTTCTCTGAGCACTCTTCAGTCTCTTTTGTTGGTTTATCATTCATATCATATCTCCAATTGGGGAGGGGGCTGTTCTCTAAGACTTTTGTCTGATCCCTCTTCTCTATAGTCCCATGGCTTCAATTATCACCTCTATGCAGATGACTCCTATCTAGCTCTAGTCTCCCTTCTGAGCACCATTCTTGTATTACAAACTGGCTGTGGGATATCTTGAACTGGATGTCCCAAAGGCATCTCAAACTCAAACAGAACTCATTATCATAAAATTTGAGAGTTAAAGTGAAATGCCATCTAGTCCAACCCATACATGAAAAGAATGTGTACCATAACATAGCCAGTAAGTGTCATCTAATTTCAGCTTGGAGACATCTAAGGAGGGGAAACCCATCATCTCTCAAGGCAAAGTATTTTACTTTTGGATAGTTCTAATTGGTGGGAAGTTTTTTTTCCCCCTGGTATTAAGGCTAAATCTGCAACTCCTCCCTCTGATAAGCCTTCAAATATGTGAAGACAGTGATCATGTACATTTGGGTCTTCTCCAGACTAAACATGCCAAGGTCCTCCAAATGATCCTCATGACATAGACTTAAGGTCCTTTACCATCCTGTTGTTTTCCTCTCTTGAACTTATCAGTGAGCTTCTTAATTCTCATAACTGAACACAGTATTCTAGATGGTTTGATGAGGACAGAGTAAAGTGGGACCATCACCTTCCTAATCCTGAAAAATACACTCTTCTTTAATGAAACACAATTTTGTATTAGCTGTTATGGCAGCTATATCACACTGCTGACTTATACTGATCTTGCAGTCCACTAAAAGCCTCAGATCTTCTTCAGAACAACTGCTGCCTAATCATGCTTTCCCTATCTCATGCTTGTTTTTTCGTACCCAAGGTTAAGACTTTTACATTTGTCTATTGAATTTTACCTTATCAGCTGTAGATCCATGCTCTAGCCTAAAGCTCTAAAGATACTTAGGACTACTGATTCTGCCATCCAGTATGTTGGCTTTTATTTCCTTTAGGAATAACCTATTCTTTCTTATAAACTGGAGTACATATAGGTATTCTTTGAGTCCTTTCATCTTCTCCAGGAGGGAGCTCTGTCCTACCCTTGGAGCACAGATAAGGGTCATTTGGCTCTGGTACAAATACCTAAAGGGGTAAGGTGGGGTCAGCTGTGGGATTAAAAAGTCTGAAATAAAGGCTAACTAGCCTGTCTAGTTAGAAATTAGGTAGGCCAATCTAAGTTTTCTGCTCTGTTACCTCTGCTGGTTCCAAGTTCCTCAAAAAGTATATTTGACCATTACTACTTTCAACATGCTTTTAAAGTGGAATCAGATACTAAGACAAAGTGAACTTTTTCTGATTTGCAATAAGTCTCACTTTGGAAAAGCTCCCTTGATTCAGAAAGCTCCTGGCACCTGGCTCTTTCCATCAGACATAAGAACAAGTCAGATCAGCACCTTTTAATGTCAAGATTTCACAAAAATAAAGAGGAGAGAGAATCTACTAAAAAAGACAAGAACAGTAGGAACAAATGAAAGCATTCTTTTAATTAAATGCAACAACAACCCCTGAAAGAGGAAAGTCATCAAAGGAAACATGTTAAAGGTAAGACTAAATATCAAATCTGGTTACGGAAATTATAAATGAATACAGAGAATGAGAGGGAAAAGGGAAAGGATTTTTTTTTTGATGTTTAAAAAAAATTAGAGTTAGTTTAAGGATTATCTTAGAAAGGAGATAATAACTCTCATACTCCAATTATTTCATCTAGTAGATGAAACTCTATTAACAGATATTAATAGATAATAAATAGACTACACCTTAAGTTTAGAAAGAAATGCTGCTAATGCACACATGGGTCCTTGAACAAAGAAAGCAAAGAAAATGCCACTTATGTCCTAAAGCAAGAGTTGCAATCATTCTTGTATCCTAGACTTCACTGTAGCTTCTTCTAAATGAATTGACAGCATTTTATTTCCTTATCTAAGCTGCCTAGTCTGGTTGTAGGTGAAAAACAGACTAGAATTATGTTGTTCCTCTCTATCTTTAAACCTGTAGGGAATAGCAAGCAGACTAGAAATGACTAATTTATGTCCAAACTGGAGGCAGGTAATAAGTTGACATGCAACATGCAATGCTGTATAAAACATAAACAGGCAATCCAAAATGATAGTGGAATAAGTCAGTTGTAATATGACTGACTAAATTTAGAGAATAGGAATACTGCTCCCCATTAGTTCAAGGAAGGCAAGTGGTCAGTACACTTATTTTTCAGGTCTTAGGGTGCAAATAGGGATACACTTAGGATAATCATTTTGCATTTTAGTAGCACCAAGATGGAATTTTATTTTTGTTCTAAAAATGGAAAAAGCCTAGATATGAAGACATATAAAATGACTTGTTTATGACTCCTCTATTCAAATGGAGATGGCTTTGGGTTCTTAAAGTCAATTCTAGTGAAGCATAAGTTACCAAAGAAAAAGTCTTACCAAGCTAGAAAGGCTTTGGGTATAGGCCAAATAGACTATTGGTTCATGACATGTTAGGAATTTGTGAGTGATCAAAGAAAACATAGACTAAAACTTGGAAAAGCTTGATCCTTCTCTCCTGGTTCTAATCATCAGGCAACATTTCCTCCTAGGAAACACTCATCTCAGCTTTAAGCCACACCAAAGACAATGACATTATTTTCCACGCATCAATGAAACAGGCAAGTCAAATCAATGCTGAAGGGCTGAGATACTGACAGAAACCACACCAAAACACGCTTACATTATATTGATCAGATTCTATAGTGATTGTGACAGAGAAACAGGTGAGTTTTGTGTTACCAGGAAATCCCAAAGTGAACCAGACGCTACTGACAGAGATACTGCTGGAGGAGGAATGGAGCCACATGGACCACTTCAGCCAGCTCTGGAAAGGCATCCTTGGGTGATATGCTTTAGATCCATGCAGACCTACCTCTTGTTGTTGGTAACATGTCTGAAAGCCCCTGCCAGGCAGTCACCATCTCAGGGTTCTTTTCCACATCTGCAAAATTCTTCCATACCCTGATGGCACCGTCATCTGAAGAAGAAAAGAGAAGGACGTCAAAGGCACTGTCTCTCTCAGGCCCTATTTGGGAGTTTTGGGGAGAGATAGGAAGTCAAATGACCTGTGTCACTGAAAAAGAATGAATATGTCACTTCATTTGGTAGACTGACCGATGAAGAAATGGACCTAGCCTTCTTGATTTGTTCCTTTTTGCTTTATACTCCTCTCTCTGCAACCCAGTCAAAAAAAAAATCATCCTGCAAAGATGTGAGGGTGCATTATTATTTTCCTTTTCATGGGCAAATACACCTAGCTAACCACAGAACAGATCCTTGAACCAATTTTAGCTTCTCTAGTACCTCAGACTGTTATTTCCTTCTTATTAGTATTGAAGCACTAGTTGTAAAATCCTTCAACCTGTAAGAACAACTATGACAAAGCCCAAACTCTGAACAGCACACTATTCTGCTCCTCTCTATGTTAACTTTTTATGTGTTAAGAAAAAAAAAATCAATAATTTCTTTCTTTCTTTTTTTTTACTTTTAGGCAATTGGGGTTAAGTGACTTGCCCAGGGCTTAATACCAAATAGAACATTGAAAGAAAAAAGCCTCATGTGTGTATTTCCTTCAGCCTCTTGCCTGCTTGCTGGTTCAGTTTCCCTGTTTTGTATTTGCATTATTCAGAACTCATTAATTTCTTTACAAAACCCTCAGTGATTTGGGCACCTTGAACTGTCCAATTGTAGCTGATAATCTCAACTCAGGCTTTGGAAAGAATTAGATCATGCAGCAGGCACCTTTAGTAAATGTTTGTTCGACTAAATGAAATATTCTCATTCCAATCTTAACTTGATCTTCTTCACATCCTTTTCCCTTCACCTTGGTTTTGACTTCTCAATGACTTCTCTTTCAACTTGAATTCCTCTTCGTGCTTTCTCCCTCATCAGCTAAGAAAACTTAGTTTATCCTGTCTTTTTCCCCCACCCTCACCACTGATCTGTCCTCTTCTTAAAAGTACTTTCTCCCCCCTTAGAAATGTGAGCTTCTTTGGGGGGACAGGACTGTTTCTGCTTTTCTCTGTGTCCTTATTACTTACCACTGTGCCTGGCATATAGGAGGCATTTAATAAATGCTTGTTGACTTGACTGATTATCTTCTCTAACCACCACTTCATATTGTTCCCTTACCTACTCTCACTTCCATTTCCTATAATGGTAATGGAAAAACTCCAAAATGTAATCTCAAGCTTGTTTTATCTAGTGAAATTGTTCTGGTCCTGCTTGCTGTAGTCCAGAGAAAAATAATTCTTATATGGCAGTAGACTGTTGTGGTTAAAGATTTCATGATAGAGCCTTGAAAAGTTCTTGAGAATATGAGAAATTGAAGAACAATGAATTCGGGTTACTGTTTAAATATTCAATATATTCTGAAGCAAACAGTTCAAATTAGCAAAAAAGCAGTTTAACCCATCCCATTTTGTTCTCATTCCAACAATCTCTCAATAGCTTTCTTTTCTTCTAAATACTCACAACAACAAAATTGCTAAAGTTTTGAAAAAATATCTGAAATTCAACACGACCAAAATGTAACTCATCATCTTTGCACCCAAGCCTCCTCTCCTCCAAACTTCCTTATTATTATGGAGGATATCACTATCCTTTAGTCAACCAGGCTTGTAACCTTAAAGTCATCCGTGACTCTTTCCTCTTCCTCACACTCCATATCCAATTGTAATTCCACAATGTTTTTTCACTTCCTTCTCCTCTTCACTTTCCTCGGTTGTTTTCTCCAATACTTCTTTATAACTTTTGATATTATTATTTCACACTTCTAATCTGAGACATGAAAGATTCTCTGACTTCATATAATTATTGTCATTATATAATTATTATCATCCATATAAATAAATACTCATTCTTCTAATTTAGCCAGTAGCTTAATCCTGTAGCACAAAAATAGCATACGTTTCTCTTAATCAATATTGACTTTTCATCGTGTTGAATCTGCTCACAACCTTCTTGATCTTTTCCTCTGCAAGCAGTTTCCACTCCAGTCTAATATAGGGGAATACTCAATAATAACTAACAAACAGAATTCAAATGAAGCTGCACTTTCTATTTCTAGGCGATGACAGGAACGGGTATTGATGATTTGGCAGAAACAGACTGTTGAGGAAAGCCTTCTTACCGTTCGGTTGTTTCAGCTATGCCTGACTCTTCTTGACCCCATTTGGGGTTTTCTTGACAAAGATACTGGAGTGGTTTGCCATTTCCTTCTCCAGCTCATTTTACAAATGAGGAGCTAAGGCAAACAAAGTTAAGTGACTTGCCCAGGGTCACACAGCTCGTGAGTGTCTGAGGCTAGATTTGAACTCAGGAAGATGAGTCTTTCTGACTCCAGCTTTAGCACTGTGCCGCCTACTTGCCTTGGGGAAAGTCTTACAATATGTCAATTAAAACACACAGGCTAAGTTTCTGCCTTTAAATGATATTTCATGTTGAAGTCATTTCCCTTATAATCTTTTGGCATTTTATGACGATAACCTCCAATCAAGAGATTTTTTTTTTCATTAGGAAGAGAAGAAATACAATCAGAACAAAAGATTCCCTGAAATAGCAAGCATGGCTACCCCTCCAACTCAGCAGTCTCAGGGTCCCAAGCCTCCAAGTCCACCTGCTAATGCCCCTGATGTAATACTTTCCTAACCCTGCTCCCATTTCTTTGACCAAGTGGAATGTGGCTTACCTGTGGCTGTCAGTAGCAACGAACAGTCCTGGCCATTCAGATACTCCATGGCAGTGACTCTAGTGTAGCGAGGATTTCCATTGTGGAAGTAGTCCAACTTCTCCCCTTTTTCCCAGTCCCAAAAACTTGGGGAGTATAAGGATAAAATAAAAAATGAAAGTGAAAACTGCATCTGTTTTATTAGAAGCACAAAGAAATCTCTATTAAATCAGTACCTTTTCAATTAAAAAGCTTTATACTTATTACAAATTAAACTTGTTTTTCTCCTTGGGGTATCTCAATGTTTTTTCTTTTTAAATTAATGACTTTCCATAACATCCCCTGCTTTTGCAGAGGAAGTAATAAGATTAAATCCCCATTACATGCCTTTCTGTTACAAATCTAGTTTTGATGAGACTATTATATGTACACTAAAACCAGGAAACCACTTTATCTTTATATACAGTATAAAAGTAACACATCTCAAAAACGTAACATCTGATTCACTGTCCTTTAACCCATTGTTATTACTTTGGCACTTCACCCCTCTGTAATTCAACAGTAGTCAAGAGTAATAGAGAGGATGTTTTCAACCTTTAAGAGATTGGAAAAGGAGTGAAAGATATCTCACAGTCAATTTTTGAGACCTCCCTGTTTGGAACAAAATAGGAAAGCCCCACATTCAAAGATGGGGGTGAAGTATGAAAAATTTCAGCATCCTTCAAATGTAAAGTTAAACCACATGGAAGTTAACATTTAGTTAATACTTAATGAACTCAGGAGAGTAGTTACCATGACCCTTACCAAATGCTGTCTTTATCAGCTACAGCTATGCAAGGGGTGAAGGGGTGGAATTTGACCACTGAGGGAACACCAGGGTTCCTATTAAGGAAGATCTGATCATCTAGTCTTGTAATACCTACAAAAAGAAATGGAAAAGAAAGTACCTGGTAACTAATCTGAATTTCTATGCTTATACCAAGAGATTGAGCATAGTGCCTTGGACTAAACACTGGAGAGAATACAAAAGGATTTACGCTCGTAAGTGAATGAAACCTAAGCACATCTGAATTTCTACAGCGATAATAGTCTATGCTAGTATGACTGTATATAATATTGCTCTTATTTTTTACCTGTTGCAAAGTTTATTAGACTATAGATTTTATGAGGGTAGGAATCATGTCTTCTATTTCTTCATATGGGAAATGTCCTCTGGAAAACCCCTTTACATGCACCCTTGATCCCATTCTATCCCATCTTATCTGGTACTTTATATGCATTGTCATCCCCATTCTCTAATTTATATTTGATTTCTCCTTGACTTCTGGCTGTTTTCCTGATACCTACAATGTGTCTATGTTTTCCCCAACCTCACTTAATCCAGCATCCTAGTTAGCTATTGCCCTCTATTTTTCCTCCCATTCTTGTCTAAACTCTTTGAGAAAGTCACCCCTACTTAGTGCTTCCATTTTCTCTCTTCTCACCAATGACCTCTACTGCCAAATCCAATGGCCTTTGCTCAGTCCTTCTTGGCACCTCCCCAGGCTCTGACACTGTCAGTCATCCTCTTGTCTCTTCATGACATCACTCTCTCCTGGTTTGCCTCCTACCCACCTGGACACTTCTGAATCTCCTTTAATGGGATGTTCTCTTACCTCATCTCACCTTGGTTTCCTTCTAGACAGATGAAATAGCAACTTCTGATCCTGCCTCTCCTCTCCTCTCCCCCATGCCTGTCCTCTAAGATTATTTTCCATTTACACTGTATATATCTTTTGCCTATTCTCTCCCTTAGAGTTACATTAGAATGTGAGCTCCTTGGGGACAGGGAATGTGTTTTTGCCATTCTTTGTATCCCTAGTCTTTAGCTCAGTGCCTGGCATATAGTAAGCAATTAATAAATGTTTATTACTTAAAAAATGTCTGGAGAAGGAGGCGATTAAAAGTGTATAATGAAGAAAAAAATTTAGAACCTAAGGAAGAGGGATTTAGACTGCCTCTTGGATAAATGGGGAATGGCTGAACAAAATGTGGTATAAGAATGTAATGGAATATTATTGTGTCATAAGAAATAATAAAAGCGATGAGTTCCAAGAATCCTATATAGCATGAAGTGATACAGACTAAGAACTCTGATCAATGCAATGACCAACCATGTCACAATAGGATCTATGATGAAGTATGTTACCTCCTTCTTAAAAGAGAGGTGATGGACACAAGAGATACATAATTTTGGATTTGGCTGCTATGTGGATTTGTTTTGATTGACTATGCTGATTTGTTGCAAGGTTCCCCCCATCCTCTTCTGTGAATTTTTAATTAGGCAGAAGGACTGATGAGAGAGGGGAAGTTAGTAATAGTTATGTAGAAGAAGAAGAAGAGGAGGGACATTGTAACATTGAAAATGTACATATGAAAACAATGAAGTTCAGAAAGAAGAACAAACAGGACAGTTTCGAAAGTAAAATGTAGAATATGTGCGAGAGTATGTGTGTGTGTGTGTGTGTATTTGTTAAAAAGCAAGTACTATGCATGATTTCATACAGAATCCTCTTTTGTTTCTACCTGGAAATGCTCATTAACATTTTTTTAAATGTCTCAGGTCAGAATAAAAAAAGGTCCTGAAACATTAGAATTAGAAAGAATTTCTTGAAGTTACTTTTCAGAAGTACAGTGGTTAAGAAGCACACAGACCTTATCGTCTCAAAAAATGACATAGGCTGATAATTTAAATGCATTCAAAAAAGGTTTGAATATCTTCTGGGAATACATAGCCAAAGTAGCATTAACAATGAAATGGCCAACCATACTTTGCCATGCACTAGGAAACATACACACACACACACACACACACACACACACACACACACACACACACA